GAATCTAAAGTTGAAAATGCTCTGAAACCTCAAACTTCCAAGTCAGAAATGAGACTCACAAAGTTTCAGATTCTCAGATCAGAGATGTGCCTCCACCAGTCAAGTCTGTCCAGATGTTTTAAAATCTGAAACTTCTGAAATCTCAAATACTTCTGGTCCTGAGCATGTGGGATACTCCTCTGTAGTAAGGTAGGGTAGAGAAAGAACCTCAGGGAATCAGGAATATGATATCAGCTTCAATCAAAATCATCGGGCTGGGCACAGTGGTGCACACCTGTAATCCCAGCACTCTGGCAGGCTGAGGCAGGAGGATAATGAGTTTGAGCCCAGCACAGACAGTTTAGCAAAACCCTGTGTCAAAATAAAAAACTAAACGAGCTGGGTGTATAGCTCAGTGGTGGAATGCTTACCTCACATGTCTTAGGCCCTCCGTTCAATTTCTGTACCAGCACCAAAAAAACAAACAACAACAACAAAACAAACAAACAAAAAAACCAAATCAAACAAACTTCACCCAGTTGATAGACAACTTGTGACTTTGAACGCTGGACAGTTCAGACTGTTCTTTAGTTTCTGTCATTGATTTTTTTTTTTAATCCTACTACCTGCTTCTTTCTCATCTACTCACCAACTTTCTTTCCAATAATTGTGCAGTCTAAACCCTGTCCTAGATGGTGGCTGGGGTCTACTCTGTCCCTGCCTGACCACAGGTGCCCTCCAGACAACTTAGAAGACCTGCATGTGGCTGACCCGAGGCACGTTACCTTTGCTGGGCTGGGTGTTGGCCACCAGCATCTCAGAAGGAACCTGTACTTAACTGGGCTCGTGCCAGCACAGGCACACCCTAGGACCTGCTGGTCCACATACCCAACTGACTAGCCAGCAGCGCAGAATAGGGCATTTGAGCACCTCCCAAGCCACAATACAACTTTTTCCTCAGACCCTTTGTGCGATGTGACATGGTTCCAGCAGATCCCTGCATTTTTAGGAGCAGCTCCAAATTGACAAATAAAATGCCAACAATGTTTTCCTTAGGAATCTACTTTTTTTTTTTTTCATTAGTGGGGATTGAACCCAGGGCCTTTGCACTGAGCTGCATCCTTTGTCTTTAAAACAAATTTGGCTGGGGATTTAGCTTAGTGGTTCTGCTGCCTGCCCTGCAAGCGCAAGGTCCCAAGTTTGATCCCTGGTACCAAAAAAACAAATTTATTTTGAGATAGGGTCTATCTAAGTTTTCCAGGCTGGGCTCAAACTTCAGATCCTCCTGTCTCAGCCTCTCACAGTGCTGGTGTGTGTTTCACCATGCTTGGCTGAAACCCACAATTTATATAGTTATAGGGTAGGCACAGGTGAATTGGACATAGGTACAGTACATACTTATTTTTAGGGGCCTTGTGTGGGAAAGCCTTCTCCTTCCACAAATAATATTTTTTACCGGCCTATTTTTGTTCAAAATTCTGCAGCCGTAGATTTATTCTTTTGGCAAAGGATTGCCCTTCTCAGATTCTTCTTTCTAAAAGAAGAAGTCTCTGGGGGAGGTAGCATGAGAAATTACTGTAGTATGAACAGCTGTTAGATCCAGTCTTAATTTTTCTGTTTCATTTTTTTGAGACAGGGTCTGGCTAGCTGTGTAGTCCAGGCTGGCCTTGAACTCACTAAATGGCCCAAGCTGACCTAAAATTCATGATCCTCCTGTGTAGGGAATGGGGAAAGGGGATGTTACTGGAACCTCTGCAGTAAGTCCTAGTCTCCTGTGAGCTTCGACAGCACAAGGCTAATTAACTTATTATACAGGAAAGATAGAAAAACTGAGACTTTGAGAAGAAGCTCAGCTTTGGGCCTGATCAGTGCTGCTCTGGTGGCAAAGACAAAATCCCTCCGACCTGCCACACCTTTATTCAGTACATCTGGAGAAACAAATGTAACAAATGGCTGAGGACAGAAAGTTTAGTACATGGGGAAAAACAAATGTAACAGATGACTTGGGGCAGAGGAAATCCTAGATCAATGAAAAACTATGCAGATAAGATTTTGTTCCTCCCAGGATGTCTACACAGTTGGTGTGATCCTGCTCTGGAGCATCACAGCATCACTGGACCATTGAGGTCTTAGCTGTGGAGTTATGTCTCAAAATGCCATAGCTGGCCTGTAGACAGGAGAACTAGGCCTAACTAAATGATTTTTCCCCCAAAGTATATAGAACTGCTCCCGACACTCCTGTCTCAGTCTTTTGAGTGCTAGGATTTTAGGTGTGAGCCCCAACACCTGGCTAAAAATGTTTTTTTGTTTTTTGGGGGTTTTTTTGGTCCCGGGGATAGAACTCGGGACCTGGCACTTTCGAGGTAGGCAGCGGAACCACTGAGCTAAATCCCCAGCCCTAAAAATGTTTTTTTTAATTGACAGATAAGCATATATATGTATTTGTAGGATATTGTGTGTGTGTGTGTATGTGTATGGTGTATACACTGGGGATTAAGCCCAGGACCTAGTGCATGCTAAGTATGGGTTCTATCACTGAGTGACATTCCCAGATAGGAGATACACTGTATTTTCATAAAAGGGAAGATGGCATCTTGGATGCTATGGTACCAACAGTAGAGGGCATTTCAGGAGACAAGAAAGAAATTAAGAAATGTGAGGAGAAGTCAGGTGTGGTGGTGCACACCTCAGCACTCGGAGGCTGAGGCAGAAGGACTGCCGTCAGTTGGAGGCCGGCCTGGGCTACATAGTGAGTTCAAGGCCACCCTGAACTATGTAGTGAGACCCTGTCTCAAGAAAAGAGGAAAAGAAAGAAAGGAAGGGATGAAGGAAGAAAGAAAAGGAAGGAAGGAAAGGAGAGGAGAGGAGAAGCAAGATAAGCAAGTTTAGCAAGTGCTTCCAGCATTTTTCTGAGTGCTCCACTGGACTCACTCCTTTAATTGCCCAGCAGCCCTGTGAAGTAGATATTTTCATCACTCCCATTTTATAGATGAGGAAATGGAGGCTAAGATGGGGTAAGTAATTTGCTCAGTGCTACAAAGCTATTAAGTGGAGTCCATGGTATTTCCTATTTTTCAGTATGATATGTGGTATGATCAAAAAAATTGAATGTTTAAATTTTTAAAAAATGTATTATAGTGAAAGACATTGCCATTAATCCTCCTGAGAACATTTCCCTTTGAGTCAAACACACCCCATTGTTCTTGCCACCTTCTGAAGCAGTTCTGGAAGTATTTTGTGAGTGTCTAATTTAGTTTGCTATCATGGCTGCCTCAGTGTCCCAAACTGATTCAAAACATTTACCTTTCACAGTCATTTTGACTTTGAGGAAGAGCCAGAGCCCCTTGGTGCCAGAACTGGTGAATAAGGCTGATGAGGACGTAGTAATGTTTTTACAAGCCTGCCTTTCTGTTGCATGACATGAAGCCTCAGCATTCACTGTATTTTTAATCACATCTTGTAAAGACACTTAGGAAAGAGGACTACCAGAACTGCTTCAGAAAGTGGGAAGAACAATGGGATAAGTGTGTTTTAAGCAAGGGAGAGTATTTTAAGGGGGATTAATGACAATGTGTGTCTTTTATTGTAATTCCACTTAAACATACACTATTTCTTTCTTTTCTTTTTTTTTTGGTACTGGGGATCGAACTTGGGACCTTGCACTTTTGAGGCAAGTGGCGGAACCACTGAGCTAAATCCCAGGCCCTATACACTATTTCTGTTTTCCTTTTTTTTCATACACTATTTCTTGATCAGCTCATGTATTATGCTGGGGGTCCCCCAGGGCTTCCCTGGGTTCCGTGATTCTATAGCAGGACTCACAGACTTTAGCATGTGGCATCATTTATTACAGTAATAGCAACATCAGCCAAGAGAAAAAGCATGTGAGATGAAGTCCAGGGGAAACAAGGCAGGAGCTTGCACAAGTCAACTCATTCTGGGGTTGCACAGGACATTTTTGGATTTCCCCAGCAATGAGTATGGCAACACATAGCAGAGGTCTGCCAGGGAAATTTACCAGAGGTTCAGAGCCCCCCCCCACTTTTTTTTTTAACTGAGAGCTGGTCTGTCTACTGCATACCAAACTTCCAGATTTCTGGAAGGAAAGGCATTCAGTAAAAATGAAGGACAGCGAGCTATTTTTTATTAATCCATCCTGAGACTGGTGAGAATCTGTGTTCCTAGATACCACCAAGGGCTGACCTTGCAACAAGCAGGCCTGAACAGGGTAACAGGCTTGGTCTTGCCGTGCTATGTCTTTTCTGCCCATATATATTTTCTACTATGTATTGGGGTTTTTTCCCCCCTTGTGGTACTGGGAATTGAACCCAGGAGTTTTGCACTGAGTTACATCCATAGCCCTTTGTAAAATATTTTATTCTGAGGCAGGGTCTCACACTAAGTCACTGAGTTATCCAGGGTAGGCTTGAACTTGTGACCCTCTTGCCTCAGCCCTGAAGAGTGTTGGGATTATAGGCATGCATCTCTACCCGTGGCTCTGTGGTGTTTGTTCGTAATTTATTTATTTGGTACCAGGGATTGAACTCAGGACCTTGCACTTGAGAGGCAGGCGGCAGAACCACTGAGCTAAATCTCCGGCCCTGTTTGGTTTTTTTTTTTGTTTTTGAGACAGGGTCTTGCTATGTAGCCCAGGTTGGCCTTGAGCTCACTATGTGGGTCGAAGCTGGCCTCAAACTCGTGGCAGTCCTCCTGCCTCAGCCTCCCTAGTGCTGGGATTACAGGCATCCGTCACCATGCTGGGCTGTGGTATTTTTAAAAAGCATCAAATTTTACTTTTCTTGTTCTATAAAGACCTATTCCCCTGCTAAATCTCACAGGATCCTCTGGGATCAAATGAGAGCACGAGTCAGGGCAGTTAGGGCAGGGTTTGTCACAGTGTCTGCTGGGTGCCGCTCTCTTCAGTGGCTGCTTTAGGAGCATGGATGTGTCTGTTGCATCTGGTACGGTGGTCCAGTGAATGCACGAGTGATTCACATCACCCTATCCCCTGTCGTTCCCAGGTGGCCCCAGTCACATTGAGGTCAACATCTCAGCCACCGGCACTCTGCCCAATGGCACCCTGTATGCCGTCAGGGGCTCGCAGGTGGACTTCAGCTGTCGCAGCAGCGCCCAGCCCCCACCCGTGGTTGAGTGGTGGTTCCAGGCCCATTCCAGCCCTGAGTCCTTTGGAACCAACCTGACGGTCACCTACTTCACGCTGCTATTAATGTCGCAAAATCTTCAAGGGAACTACACCTGTCTGGCCACCAACACACTCAGCGGGAGACATCGCAAGGTGATCACCGAGCTACTGGTCTACTGTGCGTAAGAAGCGCTCCCCTCCCCTGCGTTTTCCCCCGCCCCCTCCACGGCACGTGTGTGTTTGCACCTTTTCCTTTTGTCCTAAGAGGCGTGGCCTGCTGCACAGGCCGAGTGTGGCTCTGTGGCTCCCTTGTGACACACGCACTGCTCAGTGTCACACCTTCTGGAAGCTTGCAGCTAACCATGGCTGCAGAAGAGTCTCACGCTCATACTGAGCCTCATGTATTCTTTTTTTCATTTTTTAAAAATAGCAACGAGGGCCGGGGATTTAACTCAGTGGTTCCAGCGCCTGCCTCGCAAGCGCAAGATCCTGAGTTCGATCCCTGGTACCAAAAAAAAAAAAAAAAAAAAATAGCGACGAAACTGAGCACGATGGTACACACCTCTAATCCCAGCACTCTGGGAGGCTGAGGCAGGATGGCAAGTTTGAGTCCAGCCTGGGAAACTTTAGCGAGACTCAGTCTCAAAATAATAAATAAAAAAAGTCTGGGGATGCAGCTCAGTGTGAAGGCCCTGGGTTCAATTCCCAGAACTGTGAAAAACAAAAAGTGAAAGAATGTTATTGGCATTCAGGTACGTTCATAACGCTGTGCAGCTGCCACCTCTGTCTAGTGGTTAGTTGGCTCACAGTTTTGGAGTTTTCAGTCCATGACTGATTGTACCCATTGCTTTGGACCCGTGGTGGACAGGACATTGTGGTGGGAGTGAGTGGCAGGGGAAGCCTGTTCATTTCATGGCTGGGTACAAAACAGATCTAGGAAGAGGAAGGGGATAGATAGGGTCCAACAATACCTTCAAGGGCATGGCCCTTTCTCTTGGTTCCTACACCCTCCAGCTAGCGCCAAGCTGGGGATTAAGCCCTGATCTCAGTGGGGCTCTGGGGGCATTCCAGATGCAAATTATAGCAAATGTCAAAACGTTTTCATTGCCTCAAATGGAAACTTCCAGTTGACTAAGCAGTCACACCCATTTTCTGTCCTCCCCAGCCCCTGACAAACACTGTGTTCCACCTGTATGGGTTGATCTGTTCTGGATGTTTCATGTGAATGGTTTGTAACAATATCTGGCTTTCTGTGTCTGGCTCCTTTCATTTTGCATAATGTGTTCAAGGGCCACAGGAGACTCCCCGTGACCCGCGTTGTACTAAGTGTTGGTACTTCATTTCTTTACATGGCTGAGTACCAGTCAGTATGGAGACACTGATGTTTATTTATCCATTCATCCGTCTGTATCCACGCTTTTCAGAAGCACAATGAGCCTGTCCATGAGTTTATTTTGGAGGTGGGGAAACACCAACCAAACACTCCTATATGTAAATATCTTGGCTAAAAACCACTGCAGAGGGCTGGGAATTTAGCTCAGTTGTTATGCCCGCTGTCGTGCAAGTGCAAGGACCCGAGTTCGATCCCCGGTAACCCCCCCCAAATTAATAAAAATAAAAACCACTGTAGAAATGCTGAGTGCACTCATAATCCATGCTAATGAAAGGGAACATGGGAACAAGACATGAGTGGGCAGGATAATGACACACTGCTTAATTTGTATGTTATTCACAGCTTTTATAAGTCTGTGTTTTTTAACATAAATGACATTTATAGTATACAAAGTGACACATGCTTGTAGGAAATGAGAGATGAGCTTAAAGAAGAAAATAATCATTCTAACCATTAGTTTTGGTATTTTCCCAGTAATTTTTCTTGTCAGTGTTATATATATCCACCCATTCATATAAAATCCAACTTTATTTCTGTTTGAGTTTTTTGTTTGTTTAGTTTCTTTTTAGTTTTTGAGACAGGATCTCTCTGTACCACCCCCTCCCCCCCAAGCTGGGATTTCAGGCATGCTCCACCACACCCGGCCCAAATTTATTTCTATTTGTATAACATAAAGTATGCCAACCTGTTTAACAAATGTACGTATTATACTGGATGTGTTGGAGGTGGGACGACTGTCTCCCCCTCTGGTAACTTCATGATCTTCATTTGCCCTTGGGCGCAAAGGCAACCACTGGTAGTTTCTGGGGCCAGCACTGTCGGGTGGTAGAACTTCCTTGGATTCAGGAAGTGTCTTGTTCTGTGTGATCTAACACAGCAGCCCAGGGATTCCATAGTGCTGCAATGTGGATAGCGGGATGGAGGAAATGCATTTGCAGTTTTCGTTTAAATAGCCACACACAGCTGGAGAGAAATGAAAGGCAAACGCAAGCCATTCCTCAGAGATTTAACACCTAGCAGAAGAAACCTGGCGGTTGCAGGTGCTCCTCCGTGTTAGGTTTGTGCTAGGTGTTATTTCGAAGTAGACTCTCCAAGCCCCCGTTTCTTTAACCCTTAGTGCCAGCCCGGTGGCTGCTGCTATCTGAGTTTGCCGTTAAACCCTTTGTTCCCTTTTGGTGTTTTGCAGTGCCCCCTCCATCACCTGTGGAGTGCTCAGCAGAGATATCAGCAGGATCGTCCACACTGAAGCTCACCTGTCGCTGGGATGGGGGCTACCCTGACCCTAACTTCCTTTGGACAGAAGAGCCAGGAGGGGCGATTGTGGGGAAGTCAAAGCTGGGGGTGGAAGTGCTGAACCGGTCCCAGCTGTCGGATGGCAGGAAGTTCAAATGCGTCGGGAGCCACATCGTAGGGCCAGAGTCGGGAGCCAGTTGTGTGGTGCAGATCAGTGAGTCTGTCTTGCTTTGTCCTGGGTTGGGGTTCACTTGCTTTCCTTTCTTCTGTGAGGATCCTTTGAAAGTAGTTCTGGGAAAGAAACTCCAGTGTGTCAGAGTGAACTGAATCCCTTCCCTTTCTTCCTTCCTTCCTTCCAAACTTTAAAGATGCCTCGCTAAGATTCTTGGTTTTAGCTGAAGCACTTTTCACTCAGGAAATAACAATTGAGCACCCACTGTGTACCAGGTAGAGTAAGTAGATATTGAGGGTAGAGCAATGAACAGGATTGACAAGGTTCATCCATTAATTATGTATTATTACTTAACAGTTTAACGCCCAATTTAGTGGCTTAAAACAATAACTGTTTGGTAGCCAGGTGTGGTGTCGCACTCCTGTAATCCCAGGACTTGGTAGGCTGAGGCAGGAGGATTGCCATGAGTTCGAGGCCAGCCTGGTCTACATAGTGAATTCAAGGCCAGTCTGAACTGCATAGCATGACTGTTTTAAAAAAAAAAAAAGGAAGTAGCTGGGACTGCTGCTGTGCACTACTATGTACTGCATCTCCCGATCAGTGGTACATAGGCTCACACTGAAGAAGCCAGCTTATCTCACAATAAGCTGCCGTTTTACCCAGACCTATGTGTGAAGGCTGCGATATTCTGTCCTCTTTTAGATCTCCAAGGGACCTCATCTCTTCTGCAGCCACTTGCCCACCCTTGCCCACAGGAAACCCAAGCTAAACTCTCTGAATAGATCCCATGCTGGCCAAATATGGGTAACATAGCTCTTTGCGGAGCGAATGCTCTGCTTGGCAAAAGTACAGTCACATGTGATATTTGTTTGGGGCTGAGGAGGGGCTACCTGGGACATTGTTTAAGGAGAAGGCAGAGCATTTTGGAAACTTTGGTTTGGGAGCTCCAAACTATATACATATGGATGAAGTTTGTTACTGCTGTTGGCTTCATGACCCCAACAGAAAATGGAGTTAACCATGGAGAGGGAAAGTGATTTGGCAGCACGTAAGACCCTGATGGTTGATCCAAGAAAGGGGGCTCCCATGTGAGTTTCCAAAGAAGACTCGGTAGCGGGGAAAGGATCTCTTCTGTTGCACCGACCTTGAGAGAGGTGTGTAGGCTGTTCCCGAGTCCTCATCCTGGCCCCTTTCCCTCTTCCTTCCCTTTCCCTCTTCCCAAGATGCCAGCTGTGAAACCCTAGATTCTGCTTTGGAATAGCTGCCAAGGGAAACATGTTTCACCATCCCGGGTAGGATCCCAGTGTGCCACTCTCTGTCCTTCAGATGCTGGAAGTGTGCACTTCATGAATCCAAGAAGAATCTGCTGCCCTGCACAGAGGGTGTGGAAACAAATGGATTGCTATGGTGGCCCTTATAGCTGCTCGTGTTCTGTTCAAATCAGACCCGAGGGCACAGGAATGCCAGGTTCTAAGTTTTCTAGGGCAGATTCCCAGAAGTCCATGTCACCATCCCTGGAACCTGTAAATTTTACTTTCCATGGTGCAAGGGACTTTGCCAATGAAGTTAAGGATATTGAGTTGGGGACAATGCCCTGAGTTCTCCAGATGGGCCCAATATGACCACAAGGAGCCATATGAGAGGAAGGCAGGTCTGACCCGATCACAGAAGCAGAGTTTGGAATGAGGCTAGGAAGGGCCCAAAGTGTGCAGGGAGCCTCTAGAAACCCAAAAGGCAGAGGAATGGATCTCCTCTAGAGCATCCAGAAGGAACCAGCTCTGCCAACACCTTGATTTTAGTCCCGGAAGATCATTCTGACTTCTGACCTCCAGAACGTAGGTGAATAAGTTTATTGTTTTAAGCCACTAAGTTTGTAGTAATTTGTCACATCAGCAGTAGGAAACAAACGTAGCTGCTCTGCCCTGCTGTCCTCTGGAACACCTTGGGGGACCATGTGTCCATATTTTATGTGATCAGCATGGTTATTTCACAGTGGTGCTGGTAGCATTGAGGTAAGATTGTGGATTACAAGGCCTGACTGCTTGGGTTTGTGTCTTACCTAGAAAAACCAGCTTATTCTGGTCTCTTCAGAATTTTCCTGGTTTTAGCACTGGGAAAGCCCCACATCTCAGAGACTACTCTTTAGTCTTGAGTAAAGAGGGACAGTTGTTCACTCTAAATTCTAGCTATATATCTTATTTAGTTGTGTGACTTTGAGCAAGTTGCTTAAGTTTCTCTGTGCCTCAGTGTACTCCCTGTGAATGAGAATAATAACAAGGTTGTTGTAATAATGAATTAGGTTAATACATGTAAAAGCACCTAGCACTTAGAAAATGCTCAATAAATGTTAGCTTTTATTCTGTAGGACCAGGTATAGGACAGAAATTCCTGGAGTTGTGTCATTAGAAAGGAAATAATATTCTTGAAGATCTCAGGGTATGGCTTGTATTTGTCTAAACATTTGTCTTTTTTTAAAAAAAACTTCTTCTGATTACCAGGGATCCCCTCCCTTTTCTCGGAGCCCATAAAAACTTGCTTTGTGGGGGGCAATGTGACACTCACCTGCCAGGTAACTGCAGCCTACCCCCCTGCCGAGATCCAGTGGCTAAGGAACCTGACCCAGCCCGAGATGGTCATCCAGCCGGACAGCCACTATTTCATTGCCCAGAATGGCCAGAGCTCCACCCTCACAATCCACAACTGCTCCCAGGACCTGGATGAGGGCTACTACATCTGCCGGGCTGAGAACCCTGTGGGGGTGAGGGAGGTGGACATCTGGCTGAGTGTGAAAGGTGAGTGATGGAGAGGAGGAGGGTTGAGAGCGTCAGGGCCCCTTGCAGCAGTATGGGGACAGCCTGGTGCCCCTCACGGGCCTTTGCCAACTGGTAGATTGCAAGAATGCTTGTCTGTGGCTTGACGAGGTGACTAGAAAAAAATTGCTGTCCGATCCTAAAAGCACTAACATTTGCATGAGAGAGAAAAAAAATTATGCAGTACATCTTATGTTACCAAAGAATATATATATAGCATCTGTAAGTTGGGAAGCATAACAGTAAAATGAACACCCAAAAGAATAGCATGCCACTTAAGATACTGAGCAGCGCTGAGACTGATGAAGTGCCCTAAGGGCAGTGAGGCCAGATTTAGTAAACAACACAAGAACCAAAAACACTTCAATATGAATTTCAGAAAAACAGAATTTTGAAAAAAGTATCAATATGCCTCAAATAGTTCATAGAACATACTTATGCTAAAAAGTTATTATTCATCTGAAATCCAAATTTCATGAGGCATGTCATATTTTACCCACAGTCCTACTTGGAGGCCCCTTCCTAGTCTCATCCTGGGCCTCACACAGAGGATAACCACTACCTAGAGTTTCTTGTTTTATTTTTTAAAAAAGCCTTTACTATGTAAATGCACGTATAGTCAACTCTCTGTTACTCTGACAAACTACTTGAAGTATACAAGTTAAAGAAGAAAAGATTTATTTTGGCTTATGGTTTCAGAGGTGTCAGTCCATAATCACTTAGCATCTCTTTGGGCCTTTGGTAAACATCAATGGCAAGGAGCCTATGGTGGGGGCCAGCTGCTTATATCATGGTGGCCAAGAAACAAAGACAGAAGGGGACCAGGTCCCAGTATAGCCTTCCAGGGCACACACCATACAACCTAACTTCCTCTAACTAGGCCTTCCCTCCTAGTGTTTGCATCCTTCCAATCAGCTGGGAACCAAGTTTTCACATGAACCTTTGGGGTACATTTAAGATCTAAACCATAACAGTATATGTTTCTAAATAATACTTGTTTTTATTTATTTTTGGTCATCATGATTACATATCCTCTATTTTTTTTGATCTGTGTCCTCTCTAGATTTATTAATCATGTCTTGCACCATGAGCAAAATCTTTGCTGTTATCTGAGTAATTATTTCTGATTTCATTTTTCCCAGATCCTCTTTTATTTCCAGTTCAGAGAGTCTAGGTGGTTGAGTATCAGATTGTTCCATCTCATTTCTCTTTGGGGTTGCTGTAGGTGATCTGGAAGTCTGTTTTTGAGGCTTGTTTATGTGTTTTCTCATTTCCACGGCGGAGGGGGGTGGGGGTGTGTTTCTGGCACCCATGCAGCTCACCTTCTCTGCCCTAGGAGCTTGGGATGGCGGTGGGGGAGCTTCCTTCCGGGTGCTGAGACCAGCTCACCTCTGCCCTATCGTGGTTACATATCATACGAAACTATGGAGCTAGTAAAAAGATCAGGAGGTGCCAGGGATTGTGGAGGATGAGGAGGTTTAAGCAGAAAGAGCCTGCGTTTTCAGGGCAGTGGAAATCCTCTGTATATGATAATGATGAACACCTGTCAGTCATTAGCCACTTGTTGGAACCTGTAGAATGTAGACCATCAAGAGTGACCTCTAATGTAAACTGTGATGTGTTGGTATAGGTTCAGCAGTTGTGAGAAACGTACTTGGCATCCTGACGGTGAGGGAGGCCGGATGTGTAGGGGGGAGATGGGCTGTACAGGAACTCTTCTTTCTGGCCAAGTTTCTTAGGAACCTAAAACTCCTCTACATTTTTTTTCTAAAAAAACAATTGTTACCTACATACACAGTGTTTTATGACTTGCCTGTTTCACTCCACGTTTTGTTTCTGGGATTTATTCATGTCAATGGGTGTCATAATACTTTGTACCTCTTTTCTGCTGTATAATTCTCCACTGTGTCATCTTTCCACAACTAGGTTATTCATTTTCTTGCTGATGGATGTTTGTGTTGTTTCTGATTTTTGTTGTTGTTTTGTTGTTATGATAAACAGCGCTGCTATGGATATCTTTTACTCTGCTGCTTATGTACATGTATACAGGTACCCAGGCAAATCTTTCTGTAGGATATGTATAGGGATTATGAAGGATGTACATTTTAATCTGTATGAGAGAATACAAACGTATTTTCCAATTATTTTCATTCCAAGCAGTATATGAGTAGTGAATTTTTCCCCACAATTTTTTTTTTTTCAGTATTGGGGATCGAACTCGGGTCCTTGTGCCTACGCAGCAGGCGCGAAACCACTGAGCTAAATCCCCAGCCCTTTTCCCCACATTTTTACCAATAGGCTTTGTAATTTTGCCCATCTAGTGTGTGAAAAATGGAATCTCAGTGTGGTTCTAATTTGAGTTTCTCTGATTGCCAGCATAGTTTTGAACATCATTTCTCATGTTTATTTACTATTTGTGTTTTTTTCTTGTGGGAAATACATATTTTTATCTTGACATTTTCTCTTTTCCAGTAGATGTCTAGGAGTTCTTTAGAAATTCCTCATACTGGTCCGGGGATTTAGCTCAGTGTTTCTGGCGCTTGCCTTGAAAGCGCAAGGTCCCGAGTCTGATCCCCAGTACTGAAAAAAAAAAAAAAAAAAAGGAAATTCCTCATACTAATTCCTTGTTAGTTTTCACATGTTAACCAATCCTACCTCCTGTTAGTTTGTTGTCTTTTCTGTTTTATCATATCCTTTAATAGATGTTCTCATTTTAATGTAGTTGATTTTATGAAACATTTTTTAGATCATTAGCAATTTGTTTTTTGTGGTACTAGGGATTGAACTCAAGATTTTTGTACTGAGCTAGAGTTACATCCCTAGCTGTTTTGTTTTGTTGAGATAGGGCCTTGCTAAGTTGCCCAAGTAGGATTTGAGCTTATGATCCTCCTACCTTAGCCTCGCAAATGTGGGATTGTAGGTATGTGACTAACACCATGTCTGGGTAATCAGTAGCAATTTTTGTTTTAAGAAACCTGCTGGCTGTGGTGCCACACACTTGTACTCCCAGCAGTTGTGAGGATCAGGAAGGAGGATCGCCAAGAGTTCAAGGCCAGCCTGGGCTATACAGTGAGTTCAAGACCATCCTAAACTACGTAGCAAGATCCTGCCTCAACACAAACAAACAAGCAACAACAAAATTTCCATTCCAGAGTCACAGAGATACTTTCTTCTAAAACGTTTAGCATTTTGACTTTCATAGTTGTCTTTTATTAACATAGAATTGATTTTTGTAAATGGTGAGAGGTGGGGATCAAGTTTTATTTTTTTTCCTCCTCCACATTTGGGTAACTATTTGTTCCAGCACCATTTCTCAGATGATGTTTCCTTTGTTCACTAATCTGTCCTGTATCAAGTTTCTTTATATGTGTGGGCCTACATGCATTGTATCTGTTCTATTATTGCTCTTTTTACCATGTCACTAGTAACTCACATTCTTACTTACCATGGCTTTAAAAACAATCTTGATAGTTGGGAATGGTAGCACATGCTTGTAATCCCAGCACTCTGAGAGGCTGAGGCAGGAGAATCATAAGTTCGAGCCCAGCCTGGCAACTTAGTGATTTTAGTGATACCCTATCTCAAAAAAACTAAAACAAAAAAATAAGCAAAAGCCCTGGATTCAATCTCCAGTAAGTTAAGAGGCCAAAACAAAACAAAACAGTTTTGATGAAGCTGGGTGTGGTGGTGTGTGCACGTAATCCTGGCACTGGAGAGGCTACTGAGGCAGAAGGATTGCAAGTTTAGCCTAGGGTATAAGGTGAGTTCAGGTTCAGTTTGGACTACATGTCAAGACATTTCAAAAAAATGAAAAACAAGCAAAACAACAACAACAACAACAGAAACCAGTCTTGAGGACTGGTTTTGTTTGTTTGTTTGTTTTAGTACTGGGGATTGATCTCTGGCATCGAAGATCCAAGGCAAGCACTCTATTGATGAGCCACACCTCAGCCCAATGCAGAGATGTGAACTTTCTAGGGTTCTTTCCCATTGGGTGCTTCATTTGATCCCCACAAACTTTTTGAAGTGATGAGATGAGCTCTTTACTTGCATTAGATAAAAATCCTAGAACTGGACTTAGCGAGAGGGGAGGTATTGCTTTCCTAGTTGGATATGTGTTAAGTGGATGACAACAATGGTGTGATTTGTCATTACAGAGCCTGTAAACATTGGGGGCATTGTGGGAACCATTGTCAGCCTCCTGCTGTTGGGACTGGCCATTATCTCAGGGCTTATGTTGTATTACAGTCCTGTGTTCTGCTGGAAAGGTAAGGGCTTCCTGGATCCCTTTGTTTCTCTTTCAAGCTTCTTAAAAAGGTGTGGGTGAGGGAAGGCTGCCGCTGGTATATTCATTCCTACCTTGCAGTCCTATCCTATAGAATTCTTCATTCAATCAGGACATGGAATAAGGCCCCTGAATGTGTCCCTGAATACCCTGTCACTTCTCATGTTTGGTCAGTTTTTCATGTGTTGATCTTTTGTAAATGTTAGTTTGATTAAAAACCTTTGTGAGCTGGGCATGGTGGTGAACACCTATAATCCCAGATATTAGGAGGCTGAAACAAGAGGATCTCAAGTGAAAGCCCAGCCTGGGGAACTTAGAAAACCCTTGTCTCAAACTTAAATTTAAAAAGGGCTAGGGATTTGGTTCAGTGCAAAGGCCCTGGGTTCAATTCCCAGTACCACAAGAAAATAAAAATAATAAAAGGGCTGGGGATATAGCTTAGTGGTAGAATGCTCCTGGCTTTGATCCTCGTTACTGTGTTGGGAGGAGGGTGGGATTTTGTGAGATTTTAGTGGTGTTGCTGGATATTAATTTTTCTTTTCCTTTCTTCTTTTAGTAAGAAGCACTTTCAGGTGAGTGTTCCCTAGACTCAAGTAAAAGAAAACCTATTTTCATAATTTATATTCACGCTGTTGTGTTTCCTGTCGTCAGAACAATGATAGCTACTCCCATCTAGTTCCCATCATTGCCCCACACTGGTTCAGGAACTTTATGAGGTATTCTCATAAATACTGAGTCAGGGTCTTGGTGGTGGTGGCATTTCCATTTTCCTGACAAGGAGATAGAGGCTCAGTGAAGTAATTTTTGCAAGTTCATTCCGGAAGTAGATGCAATATCTGCCTTTTGACCCAGTTCTGATTGAGTCCAAAGTCTGCATTCTTTGATGATGCCAAACCTCAAGTCTGGGCCTGCTGGTGGGCCTGTCACTGAAACATGAAGACAATGTGTACATATTGAACCCAGTCATTGATGCATTTGTTTTATTGAATTTTCTAAAAAGAGCTAAAGGAAGAACAAGTCATAGTCTTTCAGAATGTTTTAGAAGGCTAATCTGATCATGCCCAGAAGTCCCCACCCCCAGAGGAAACCCCAGTAAGGTCAAAGTAAGCAAGTGGAACTTGTGTATTTCATTTCCTAAGGAACTTCTCTGTGGGAACAAAGAACTCTTCTCTTCCCTATGGACAAATAATCCTTCTTTACTCATTCCTAGTGATGGGATATTTTTGATTTGGGACCATCTTTCATGGGAAACCATCCCTTTATTGCCCTGTGTTTGAGTCAAGGATAATGACTTATTTCACACAGGAGATAGTAGTATATGGCATTGTGGGGAAAGTGTTTAGAATCAGGGAACCTGGGTTCAAATTACATCTGTGCCATTTCCAAGTCCTGTGTCTATGGAAAATCCCTGACCTGTCTGAGTCTCGTGCCCTCACCTACTTCACAGGAGGATGCTGGGAGGACGAAATGAGACTGTAACTCTCTTAAGACTGGGATTGGGCCATGGAACCCATTTTTTCTTCCTTAAGAAACGTATACCCTGGCTAGGTAGGCAAAGCTAGCAATGAACTACAGGGCAATTAAATGCTAAGGTGCTGGGCATGATTTCCAAATGCAACTGTAGTTCAGGGATCTAGGGGGAGGGAGAGGACTTTACCTAGGTCTTAAATAATGAGGAGCGGGAGAGATCACCTTAAGTGGAAAAGAAATTTGAGGAAAGAACACACCATATATATAGTATAGATTTAGATATAGATATAGTGAGGGGTACTGGAATGGTGGATGCCTGGGACAACATGGCTACGTGCCCAAGGTCAGGGACAGAATAACATAGCACATCTGGCACAAGATACCATCATGTCTGATAATCTATGGCTGTATCTCTGTGAGGTTACAGCCACACTGTCATCTCATGACTTGACCACAGTGAATGCATGAAGAATTTTCTGTAGCACTAAAAGGGCTGCAAAGAATATAGTACAGTGTTGCCTGTTCAGTGAGGGGTGGCATTAGGAAAAACAAGACATCTTCTTGATTATTTTTCCTCCTTTGGAAATTAGGGGACAGGACATGGGTGATGTCATGGTTTTGGTGGATTCGGAAGAGGAAGATGAACAAGAGTATGCCGTGGAAGAGGAGGAAGAGGAGGGAGAAGAGACTGAGAGAGAGGAATTGCCGAAAGAAATAAACAAGCATGGCCACATTCACAGAGTGACTGCATTGGTGAATGGAAACTTGGAGCGGATGGGAAATGGGCTCCAAGACCTACAAGGTAAGTTTCCTTCCTTATGAACACTGTGACTTCTGCAGGGAGCATCCCAGCAGGAGAGCTCTAAGAGATGTGCTGGGATTTTTTTTTGGTACCAGGGATTGAACTCAGGTCCTTGCACTTGCAAGGCAGGCGGTGGAACCACTGAGCTAAATCCCTGGCCCTGAGCAGGGATTTTTAAAGGCTGAGGAAGATACTGAAATAAAATTTACTGTAGAATCTGAAAATCTATTTATAAGTTCTCAAATCTGAAATCCAAAATGCTCCAAAATGCAAAACCCTTTGAGTGCTAGCGTGATGGTTCAATGTTTACAAACTTTGTTTCATTCATAATATTATGAAAATACTGTATAAATTTACCTTCAAGACCCAGGGATGGTGGTGCAAGCCTGTAATCTCAGCACTCAGGAGGCTGAGGCAAGAGGATATCAGTTCAAGAGCAGCCCAGGCTATACAGTGAGACCTTGTCTGAAAAAAATAAAAATAAAAATAAAGATAAATAAATTACCCTGAGGCTATATGTACAGGAAAGTATTTGAAACCTAAGTGGAATTCATGTTTAGATGGGTCTTATCCCCAGGATGTCTCATTGTGTATATGCAAATATTCCAAACTCTGACATCCCAAACACTTCTGGTCCCAGTCATTTTGGGTAAGGGATACTTGATATGTATAAACTGCCAGTACTGGAATGAAACTGACAAATGTGGTTAAGGCCTGGTGTGGGAAAGGCACAATATGGGCACTGTTGAATAGAAAAGACTGATTGTGTTGGTGTGCAGGGAACTTTATTTACAAGGCCAGATGGGATAGATGAAAGTATATGGGGAAAATTGAGGCAGGAACCAGATTTAACCAACTCTTTGAGATGGCAGTATAGGAGTGGTCCCAAGGAGGAATGTGATTACCTAATGGCTGATATGTTTAAAAATTCCAGGGCCTTCCTGGCATGATGATGGTGCATGGCTGTAATCCCAGCACTAGGGAGGCTGAAGCAGGAGGGTCACTGTAAGTTCAAGGCCAGCTTGGGCTATATAAGATGAAGAACAGGCTGAAGTACATAGTGAGACCCCATCTCAAAAAAAAAAAAAAAATTCCAGGACCTCAAAGAAGAATAAAACCCAGAAGGAATTTACTGGTCAGGAACAGCTTGTGGAAGATGTGGATCTGAGGCCAATCTGTATGGACAGTTTGCTTAAGCAGAAAGGGGAGAGGGTATTTCAGGTGAGGGGAGGAGCCAGGAGCATGATGGGTAAGCATTGAGTATATCTGTAGAATTTTGTTTAGGAGAACAGGCAAATGTGTACTCTGCCCCACCTTCTCTATGAAATTTCATTCTGTGGCTCATCAGGAAAGAACTAGAATCACTTAGAAGACTGAAATAGTTATGCACTATTAAGAACCAGGCGAGGGCTGGGGATTTAGCTCAGTGGTGCTGCTGCCTGCCTACCAAATGCAAGCTCCAGAGTTCGATCCCCGGTACCAAAAAAAAAAAAAAAAAAA